AGACCCAACCCAGCACCACCAAAGCAGGTACCCAAAAAGACAAAGCCTAGAGCATTCCTAGGAAAATGCCAGAAAAGCCTTTGAAAATCTCATAAACCAACAGAAAACGTGACAAAATCTACGAAAAAGCAAGGGCATTGGCCGGGACCATGCCGCGACCAGCCCGGGATTCGAGCCCAGGACCATTTTGGGCCGTGCTTATTTTCCCGCGCGGGTCGAGAGGGTGCCCCAAGATGTAAATCAATTGGGATGGCAGATTCTTGGACAATCCAGGTCGCTTTCCCGGCAGGATTTCGTCACTGCAACAAGGGTCCGGAGGGGTAGGGGAGGTAAGGTCTAGGTCTAGGTCTAAGGCTAAGGACTAGGTCTAAGGTTTAAGGCTAAGGCTAAGGCTTAAGGCTAAGGCTAACATCGACAGTCACGCCTCACCCCACGGTGTGGGGTCGGCGGATTTTTTCTAAGTGGAGATTCTCGGTACCTTTCCTGTGAGAGGTGCCACCCTCTGCGTCCAAGACTTACGTGGAGTCAACAAGCTGTTTTGCAATGTCATGGTGGGGATCACTCGAAGTAAAGTAATTTTACAGGTCCTGGCAGGTCGTAGCGCCGAAACTCCGCGTCCCCACTTTTATAGCTATAGAATGGGGGGTCCAAGGTCACCCCGTTACACACACGGGGATGGACGAAAGCAGGTTTTTTTCTAAGTGGAGATTCTCGGTACCTTTCCTGTGAGAGGTGCCACCCTGTGCGTCCAAGACTTACTTTGCTTAAGTTCGACTTAGATTTGCAGCCTCGACTTCACAGTGTACTGTTTAGACATACCGCGACACGATCCCCTTTGGATGGTAGCACGGGGTCTGAAAGCGAGGACTCAACAGTGCATGGACCATAATTCCGGTTGAAAAAGTTCAGCACAGTTGTTGTCAAATGTTCTTTTCATTGCTACTGCACAGACTGGATTTATGCTGATCGCATGTTTGTTTCCGTGACGCGTGCGGATCTTCTTGCCCATTCGGACCAAATGAACATTGGACTGACCATAGAGAAACTGTGGAACGACTTGAAACAGGCATGGAACGACTTAAAACCGTCGTGGAAAGACTTCAAAAGGTCGTGGACACCACCACCCCTGACAATCCACTTAAAACAGGTTTTACACAGCAATGTTCACGAAGAGGGTCCAAACAAAGGATGAACAGATTGGCTTCGCGCCGGGTGAAAGGATTGGAAAACGGCTGGACGATTTGAGACTATGATGTTCAGATCACTGCAACATGACATATATAGGTTCCAGGAACGGTAAAATACAGCGACTCTTTGGAAGTGTTTCATTCTCAGTCTCGGTCTTGGCTGGAAGACTTCGATTTCCCGAGACTTTGGAAGTTTAGGGGCCACGTCGACCATGGCCTCTGTCTGCGCCTGACCGCTGTGACAGTGCTTGCGGCTGGTGCCCTCTCGGCCCCTCGGTGAGCTTCGTGCGATCGAGTTGTCTGGGGTGGACACGATGTGGACTCGGGGTCCGTGTTTCTGGGCGGGTCGTGTTGGGAGAAAGATTGTCGGAACGTTTCTGTCTTATCCTTTCTAGTGGCCGGTCCATGCCCGTCTTTCCACGCAGCAACCGAACGATGGACGGACACAGACATGGTTGGATGCACCCCTCTCCTAGCCCCCGCGACGCGTGCGCTCGCGGGTTCGGTCTCCTCCGTCGTGCTGTTTGGCCTCCAGACGCGCCCACGGTCTGAGCTGCAGCTGTTTTGGCTCTAAGCCGCGTGCGGGTGTGCTGGCGCCGGCCACTGGGTGGCGAGGCTGCCGCAGATGCGGCGTCGTCGGCGCGATGCGGAGCAGCCATGCTACCCGCAGCTGGCGGCGGATGCTTGGACGCTCGCGGTAGAGGACCTCCTGGGCGCGCGCACCCCGGTGCGTCGCAACGAGGTCCTTCGCTACGCTGCTGGATCTTGTCTTTCCCATCAGCGCGGCGGCCGGTGATTGGCCCGACGTCGCTGCGTTGTGAGTGGTGGCGGCCGTCAGCGTGAAAGGAACGCTCCGCTTTATTGTGACGTTGCGCCGCTCGAGCGTGATCGCCGGTATTCGAAGCCAGTCGTTGCACGCCAGGTCATGCCGGGCCACATCCTACGCGGGACCGGCACCGGCTTCCAGTCTCCTGGCCGCAAATCCTGCAGGGCATTCATAGTTCTGGTGCCTGTGCGGAAGTCCAAGCGAAAGTGTCGGAGAGAGGGAGACGAACGGACGGGGCAGGGAAGGGACGGAGCGGTCACGGGGACTTGGGCACCCGAACGAGCCGGATTGATCGTTTCCGGGAAAGGCGCGGCAGGAAGATAGAGGTAGGCTAGCTTCTGTGCCTACGGCCACTCCAATTTGGAGGGGCGCACGAATCGTCGACGCTTCGCGCGCCCCTCCGAGGTGCTGCTCTGCTGCTTTCCTCCCCCTGTCTGTCCCTTTTCGTGGTGCCTCTGCCCTTGCGTGATGGGGCAGGAACGCGCAGGACAGGCAGCGACAGGGCGGATGGATAGCCTAGGCATAGGCCTAGGATAGGCCTATGGATAGCCTAGACATAGGCCTAGGATAGGCCTATGGATAGACTAGGCATAGGCCTAGGATAGGCCTATGGATAGCCTAGGCATAGGCCTAGGATAGGCCTATGGATAGCCTATAGGCATAGGCCTAGGATAGGCCTATGCCTAGGGTAGGTATGGGCCTAGGATAGGCCTATGCCTAGGGTAGGCATGGGCCTAGGATAGGCCTATGCCTAGGCTAGGTTTTGCAAGTTCTATGCCAAGATTTCTGGACAAGAGTTTTCTGAAATCTTGGATCTTGGATCGATGGACCCAAGATTTCTGGACAAGAGTTTTCTGAAATCTTGGATCTTGGATCCATGGATCCAAGGTTTCTGGACAAGAGTTTTCTGAAACCTTGAATCTTGGATCTTGGATCCATGGATCCAAGATTTCTGGACAAGAGTTTTCTGAAATCTTGGATCTTGGATCTAGGATCCGTGGATGAGCTGTTCAGACTTGAGAATCTCAAGTCTGAAATCCCAAGTCTAAATTTTGTCTAAGTACAGAGCATCCTTTGTCTCCAAACTTCCATGTGTTTATGACCGCAGCAACCTGCTCGAACGTGCTTGAACTGTCTCTTCAACTGTCTGTCTTGACACTATGGCCATTCCTGTGAGCGGCAGCGTCACTTTGAACGGCAGTCAAGCTGTCGTGGCGCTCGATGTCGGTGCTCAGAACGCACCAACCACACCGGGAGCTCCTTTGCAGATCCTGCTGCAGAAAACTACGGACGGACAAATGCCTATCCATGAATCAAGGCTACCCGTCCTCAAGAAGCATTTGGCGGCCATGGTCTGCAATGTGCAGCGTGGCCTCAAATTAGCTCCTGTGGGGCTACTTGGTGCATGGTCCAAGGAAGCGGAAAGCAGATTGTTGACTTTGCTCAAGAAGCCTAAAATGGTGCGGCCACCCGCCGCATGATCGCATATATGTCGCAGGTTGAATGACCTAATTGCAAGGACTTGGGAGCAGTGATTCGGTTCGGTTCGTCTAAGGTCTGTGCTTTGGAGGACAAGAAGGACACGTCGCCGTTGGCCTTCCCATCGACTTCAGCCACAAAGGACCTTGCTTTAGCTGCTGCAGCGTGTACGACATCGTCATCTTCGGATTCTTCTTCCACGAGCTCCTCGGGGTCATCTTCGGAATCTTCGGACGCAGGCGATGAGCCAGGGCCCAATCAAGGCATCATGGCAGAAGCAGATGACACGCATGAGGGTACTCCGAATCCTGCACTGGGTCCTCCCCAGGACGTAGAAACCGATTTCTCAGATGCAGAGTTGGCGGGACCGAATCCTGCACTGGGTCCTCCGGACCGAATCCTGCACTGGGCCCTGCCAAGGACGTAGAAACGGACTTCTCAGACGCAGCTGTGGTTGAACCACCTGCAAAATGTGCCAAATGTGAGCGATATTTGCAACTCCAGTATGATTTTGATTCGCTTGCAGATTCCCACCAACCCATTTCCGATGCCCTCGAAGTTGCTGAAGAAGAGAACAAGCAGCTGAAGGCGCTGCTGTTCGGGCAGCAGGGCCAAAGTGGGAGGTGAATGTTTGCTTGAGCTTTGCGGCCGGTGCAAAAAAGATGCTCATTACAGTAGACTGTTTGTGCAAAGATAAACTATAACCATGTACAACTTCAGATTTGCTGCTCACTGTTCAGACTTGAGATTCTCTGTTCAGACTCGAGATTCACTGTTCAGATTTGAGATCGGACATGCGTTATCACATAACTCTTCCAATTCACAAGCCGTAGTACTTGTATCTGTCCTCTGCTGACTCATGTGCACCTTGTCCTCATTAAATTCATGTTCTTAATATGTTCTGCTCTGCATAGCTCTCGCGGCGGTCTTGGCATCCTAACATCTGCTTCCTCAGGCTATGGCTGCCTTTGTCGACGAGGCCATGAAGGAGTATGGCGGCAAGGAGTGGCAATATGACATGCAGACAGCGCCATGTCACACCATCAAGCATACGACGGACATTGAGGCCCCTTTGACTGTCGCAGATCTTCTGAGATGCTGTCGCCCACCAGCAGGCGTCAAAAGCACAAACCTGCTTCTAGATGTGCATCTCTCCATAGCAGATTGTGGAACTCCTGAGAACATTGCCTCGGCTGTGCAAAACCAACGAGTCGACGAGCTACCTGCCGCTTTACAATTTGCAGAACCTTTGCCAGAACAAACCAAACTTGGATGCATTGTGGCTGCAGATGGCCATGGGCGCCTAGATGTGATCAAGATCATCTTCTTTGAATGATCAAGAAGATTTCCGGGTCCCCGTGTCTTACCTTCCATCGTCAAGGGACTTGGGCTGTCAGGAAGGCATTCCAGTCCTTGCTCGATAGAGCGGCAGGACATCATGTGCAGTGGGCCAAAGTGTGCCGGAAAGTGACAGTCACTACCAAATCTATCACAACGGCCCCTACATGGGCTCCTGATGATACAGAGTTGCTGCAAGGTATCTCTTTCATCAACGAGAATGCCCCGGAGTCCGATGCCCATAACGAACAGTACGCCTGGATCTTGATGAACATCAAAGAAGACTCAGACAGTCCCATTGCAGGCTGGCCGGAAGGCAAAGTGAGAATCATGCACAGAACAAGACGAGGGGCTTGAGTGGTGCTACCTTGCAGCGGGAATTCCCAGTGACTACCTTCTCTCTCACAAGCCCATGCTGTCTGATACAATCTTGCCAGCGCTGTACCCTCTCTTTGTATGCTATGGAGTCTGGTGCCTTGGATGGCCTGGTGTGGGTAAGACCCCGGCATTGATTGCTATGCTGTTGGCAATGGGTCGGTACCACATACACCGGCTGCAAGAAGAAGGTGTTCCTGGATGGCGGCGGGCTAAATCTCTAGACAACTTCAGGCAGTACATTGGCCATGTCTATGAAGGGATGTTCCTGGACGATCCAAACCGCGAACGCATTTCCATGGCCGACCTCAAATCCTTCTTCACAGTGGAGGAGGAGCAAACTACATCTGGTCGCTACAATGACTCCAAGTTGCCTCGCAATTGCATGCGTACCTATGCGTCCAATGATCTGGATCAAGAGGATGAGCCTGCGGATGACAACCGTAAGGTGAAGAGTTCCTGAAGCTCACCCGTCGCATCTTTGCCGGTGACAGACTTGCTGATGTACTGGCCTGCTTGAAGAGGGCTGTCGTCATCGTCCTGGGCCAGCATGCCATGTACCTTCGTCTGCCCAGCCAAGATTCTAGAGCCACAGTGCATCGCATCAAGGTGGATGACCTTCATAAGGATCTCTTGTCTGAGAAAGACAAGCCTTTATACTCCAAGTACAAGTTAGGCATCATGGAGCATGGGCCCGAATGGCAGGATGAGACTGCGCGTGAAGTGCGTATGATTTCAGCTGGCATGGAGAAGTTTGCGGCCGGCAGGCCAGAAGCCTACATTGCGGCTGTGAATGGAGAATCGAAGAACAGCTCATAGCTCGTCTACCTCCACTTCGCCTTGCCAACAAGGAAGTTGACTCGTCATCAGACCAGGAAGACGTTTTACCAAGTCCTCCTGTCATGGTGCCTAACCCGGAGGCACGTTGCAATCGGCTGGGTCGATTCAAGCTGCCCCCAGCCAAACGGTACAGAGGCAAAACCACTCAGAGGGGAGAGCCATCCAATGAGCCACCCAATCCGGTTCCTGAGCCCGAGAGAGAAGAGCCACCCAATCCGGTTCCGGAGCCCTCGCATGATTTGTCAGTGGAAGGGCAAGCCCAAAGTGCTCACAGTGCAGAGGATGTTGAAATGGAGGCAGCGCTCGAAGAACTCGTCAACAACATGCCGCATGAAGATGAGGTGGAAGAAAATCCATTCCAGCATAGTCCGTTCCGATGAGAGAAGCCTGATCCAATCATTTCTGCATAGAAACACGTTCACGCGAATGGGGTCGTGTGCATGTGTCATGTGCGCATCCAGACATTGCGCTGCTCGTAAAAAGGCTCGCTGTGCGTGTGCTGACTGTGTCTGTCTAGATTCTCTGCTGCATTGCGTTTCTGTCTTGCATTATCACCCTTGGGGTTCATTCTTGCAGCTGCGCAATAAAATCGGTCCCGTGGTAGTCTCTCCTGTAGTCTATCCTGTGAAGCCATACCTGGCGCCATTGCTTCTGTGACCGTATGGTTGCAAAGTGGAACAACCTTCCAGTCCCAAAGAAAGGCAAGCTCCGTTCCGTGCTGAAGCGGCTCGCGGCCTCAAAGACAAAGGATTGGGAAAAGGTCCCGTATGTTCGAGGCTCGGAAGCTTCTCCACTTCTTCGCCATGATCGCTGCAAATGGAAGAGATCCTTGACGGAGATTTTGACAGCGTCCCCAGCATCTTTGGTGGCGATGCTTCAAGAAGATGGCCTTCTTCATTCTTGGGAAGGGTCTACATGCCCTCACTGCCAAGAAGGGACTCTTGGGAAGCTGATGGCTGGTGGACTGAAACATCGATGCTCTTCCCGGAAGTGCCACAAGTTTGTGAACCCACACCAGGACCAGAACCATCCTCTTTTTGTGAACCACTGGGGCTCTTCGTCTACACCACTGGCTACCCAAGCAGCCCTTCTTCTACTTCTACTCAATCGCATTCCTCACGCCGCAGTTCATCGTCTGCTACACATCAACCACAAAACCATTGAAGATATGAGCAAGAGATTGGGCCAGTTGCGGGAATCCTGGGTTGTCAAGGCTGAGAAAGATTCGCTTTGGCACTGGTGTGAAATGGGCTGATGTAGAAGCGGACGAGGCAACCTTCGGCAAAAAGATGGAAAAGGGACAGCTACACTGGGAGCAATGGTGTGGGATAGTTCAGCGAGGAAAGCCTGATACACTTGTGCTGCACCGCCTCAAACCTCCAGCCTCAAAACTGGAGCCGTTCGCAAGGTTGAACGGGAACCTCTGGCTGCAAAGTGGCTGCAAGATCGGCAAATCATTCTCCATACAGATTCTGCCACCAGTGTCTCTGGAGTCCTGACGACCGAGTCGTACACAAGAAGAAGAGAGTCAAAGTGAACGGGAAGTTCAGGTGGGTGGCTCCGACGTATGTGCAGATCCACAAGCACAAGGTTCCTGGCAGCAAGACGTCTGTAAAGGTGAAGTCAGGCACCCAAATAATCGACCGCTGCTGGCGCTATCTAAAGGATAGGTTGAACATCAACCAGCACTCCAAAGTGGGAAGCGGTTTCTTGCGCATACAATTACGGTCAGCTCAATATGAGTATTGGCTGAGGGGTCAAGACCTTTGGACCGCAACTGGTTCATTGGTCAAATGGTTCATGTCAGAGTCCTAGCGCAACGAACCAAGGAAAAATGTGTGTGAGGGTTTTCGTCTATGTATGCATCTTGCTGCTCCAACACTGTCTGCATCTTGCTTCTCTAACATTGGTCCCTGTCTTCTCTTTGTCTGCTTCGTCTGTTGGATTCCAATGACTTCAGGCAACTTCTCCCCTGCAGGATCTACACTTGGCTTCTTCATTTCCAATGCATCCAAAACCGTTTCCTTGCATCTGATGCACTTCTGCTTCCGTTTTTCTCAAATACGTCTTGGAAACACCATCAAATGTGGATCTCAGCGGAGGCTAGCATATATATATATATATATGCAGTGTATGATATAGATGTTTTGCTTCTCCTCTCAGCCTTCCGGCGACAGATGCCCAAAAACAGCGCCGGTGTCCACCGGCGGTCCGCCGCGCAGCTCCACCCCCGCGCAGGTCGCCGCGACCTTCCAAGTCACCGAGCGCGGACTCTTCTTCAACGGAGGCCAGTGGGTCGGTGGGTGAAGAAAAGCTGGTGGCTGGTGTCGCTGGTGGCAGAAGATCAACCAATTAGGGGGGCCAAGACAGCGCAATTCAAGTTGGTAGGACTTGGATGGTTGCGGTGGAAGATCCACCCTGAGGCCTGAACGTTCCATTCGACATGTAGAGACATGTAGAGACTGAGTCGGTTAGTCCATGTAGAGACTGAGTCGGTTAGTCCGTGTGTGTTTGGCAGCTCAGGTGCTATTGGTGTTTTTGTTTGGCAGCTCAGGAACCATTTGGCGCTTGCCAAAAGCATCCCCAGCAAAAGATGCAAAGATAGTGCTGTGCAACCCGTCTGGGACCCTGGGAAACATGTAGCCTGATCTTTTCGGAGGCCTGCGGCATATTACTGCATCCAGCCAAATTGGCTGACGTTTGTTTCTCAAGTTCTGGTGAGTCACAGCCTTCAAATGAATCAAAGTGTTTGAATGTCAAGTGCCCCATGCACGCTGCGAAACCGATGTACTATGCGCCGGGCGGTCGTCTACGAGAATCAATCGTTTTAGCTCAGCATTGTTGTTGCCTGCATTGCTCACATAGCCAAACAGAAATGTGAGGTTGTCAAATGCCGTCAATAAAAGTCAATGAAATCTGTGCAATTCAATTTCAATTAACAGCCCCCTTGTCCAACCAGAACAAAGCCAATATGATCAAACTCAAACGTGCAATCTATGAAAACAATAATACCGCCGGCCTTAGAATATACAAACACCAGGCTTGGTCCTAGAGATCCTAGTTAGGTTACCCCACCAAAAAAAACGGCTCAACGAACGCTACCCGCCACGTGCCGCCACGGCCGCTCCGAGAGCCAATCACTGCAGGTGGAGCAGCCAAGGGCCTCTTCCGCCGCGCGGCGTACGTGTCCATGCTGACGAGGAGATTGAACTTGGACGCGCAGGCGGCGGAAGCGGGTGCGGTGGAGAAAACTAAATGGATTGAATCTGATGGAGCAGGCCTTCTCTTTGTTTGTCCTTGTGAGGCCTCCTCACAGAAGTCCAAAGCGCAGGCACGTGCGGCAGAGTGCCAGAGTGGAGTGAGCAGAGTGCTGGTGGCGACTGAAGTTGTTCAACAAGAAATGTCCAAAGCTACAAAAGCAGCTTGGAGCACAAGAGCACAAGGTGACTAGGTCTATCTAGGTCTTCTATATTCCTTGGGATTTGCCTTAGCAGCTGCCCCGAGCCTGTAGTAATCATTCTATTCTCAGCGGAGGCCGTGATATTATACTAAGCATCGTGCGTTGCTGAGGGGGTGGATGTAGTGATCAAACTTATACATACGTATACACTCGACTCTTTGATGATCTTTGATGTATAACCACAGATAGGCCTCAATAGCCCTCTCAACGTTTGGACTGACAGGTCATGGATGGAGTTTCCTCCCCAAAACGCCAGAAGCAGAAGCAAACCACTTGACTGGAAACTCCAGAAAGATCGCTTTCAGGACCTCACTGCTCCACGGAATCTGTCAGAACCGAACACCAACACGCCGCCACCGCCCCAGTCGGCGCCCCACGCCGCGGAAGCAGGAGCAATCCGAGTCCTGGGACTGTAGCACCGACCGCGCGGCTCCCGGTTTCGGGGGCTGCGCGTCGTTCGCGCCGGTTCACGGGTGACCGGGAGACCGGGAGACCGGGTCGCCGCAGTTCGCTGCGGGTGTTGTGAGAACGGGAACGTCTTGCGGTGAGGAGGAGGTTTATGTTTGGAGCTGATGTTTGGATAGGCGCAGATCGGAGAAGGAAAAGATCGGACAATCAGGTGAAAGGGATTAGAGTTGATCATTCACGAATATTCAGGATATGATATAAGGATCAACAGAGGTACTCAAGATCCCATGCCTGCTCGGAGCAATTGGTGGACATTTGCCCATCCTCATTGGGATTGATCAGGGGAAAGAGGAAAGCTGTAAGTCTGTATCAACTAGTCTTGCCAGAGTCCTACCCTGTCAGCCCCTCATGAATTCCGCTATAGGTGGAAAAAGGCAAACCTTTATACCAGGGAAGCTGAGATAGTCAGAGTGGTGAAACCGAACTTGTTTCTACTGCAGTCAAGTTCAGTTTGTTCGTGTTGTTTATCATGTTTTTACTGTTTGTTTGTCATTTCTTGGTCAGAGCAAATCCGGGAACAACGCCGTACACATTTGCCGCAAGTGACCGTTGAGTAAGGACGTCTCTCACTGCGCTGTGGGGAGTTGGCATTGCGATAGCTGAAACACTTGTGCGTTGATTGTTCAAGAATTCTGTTCAAGTTTATGAAACACATTGAAACACTTACTGTTAATGTTCTATGAAACACTTAGTTCATGTTTGTTCAAGAATTCTGCTTAAAGACGGCGACCTGAGAAGTTGAGACCCTTCAACTTGAGCCTTTTGACGGACCAATCGCCCAAACGATGGTCATCACCCGCCGGTGATGCTCATCACCCGCCGGCGATTCTCGCGTTCTCACACGTGGCCCACGCGCCGCCCAGACGATGGTTGGTGTCGGATGTCTATTTCGACCAACAAATCCTTGTGCGTGGCGCCACCGAAGGCAGTGACCTGCGGTCGTCAGACTCCAGACCAGTCTCCGGATTGGTGGAGCATTCGTCGGTGATGTTGGGGGTGGGGGGTGGTGTCTTGTTTTTGAGTAGCTTATTGTTTCTAATCGCTTCTTGTTACTATTAGTAAGGCACTTGTTACTAGAAGCGATGCACTTGTTCCTAGTAGCGATGGGTGGTGTCTTGTTTTTGAGTAGGTTTGAAGGGAGTGAGTTGGGTTCGAAAGAAGGTTGGGTGATGTTGGGAGGATTTGGCCTTTTGGGGAGGGCAAACCTTTGGTCTTCTGAGAGAATGTGGCAGGAGGACTGGGATGAGCGAACTCAAGCAATAGAATATTGATTGGATTCTGGACTGCTGGAGTCAGCCAAACTGCCGCTTTTTGGAGAACAGCTTGTAGAAATACAATGGGTTGCTTCGATTGGGAAGGTGAATTTCAGAGTCCCTGCCCCCAATGACCCAACATATATCCCAACCTGCTTTGCAAGGATTATGTGAGGATGATTCGTAGTTTTATCAATCAAAGCAGATTTGGAGGCAGGGTCCAGCGATCTCCAAGTCCTTTTAGCTCGAGGACCCTGTGGCTAGTTCGTTGCATCTAGAAATCCACCTCGACAGCACCAGTCTACACAGGACCTGAGAATACCTGCGTGCAGGACCCTGCGGATTGCATTTGCTTTGCGCGTCCAACGCCGTCGTGTTCGCGTCCGCGAGGCGTTGGGCTTCGAGCAAAGCCTTCCCGTGGAGCTCTCGTGCTTCGATTTGCCAAAGGAGGCGCCAGAAACGGCCGCGGCCGCACAGCGGGGCCGTCGACTTCGACGGTGAGATGTGAACGATGTGCATGTGGGCGGCGGGCCAAAAGAAGTACGCGCAAGAAGCTGAGTGACCTCTATTTTGGATATGTTTGGATCAAACTATGTGATTTTCCGAATCAAAGTAGGGGTTGCATGGGTTATAGGATGTTCTAAGGAAGTAGTTGAAACACGTGTTTGGGCCCAGCAAGGTGTACAATCCTGTCTTTCCTATAGACTGCATGTCGGAATATTTGAGTGACTCATGACTTCTTGTCATGGAAACGAGTCAAACAAGTGAACTTCGGAGGGGGTCACGCAACAATGATTTTGGATGGTGGTGGTTCTTGAGTGGTTTTGCTGCAGGTGCCCTCCCAGATTCTCAGATCCCAGATTTTGTGGGAAAGCGCTTTCCACCGACTTGGCAGGTGATTTTTCCTCAGAAAGGTCGGTCAGGCGAAGCGGACAAGCCATGGGTTTTTTTCTGCGCGCGCGCTGAAAGGGTCTGAGGTGATGGGAGACATGGGCTGAAATGGGGGTGGGTGTTCCTTGTTTTCCCCCTCTAGGCCAATCCCCAGGATAACAGAGAATTTCTATGAATTCCTTCTGGAAATCGTTCCCGTTTCGAAGATCCGTTCAGTTTGCCGCTTCTTGAGAAAGCAAGTGACGCCTTTGGCCCAGTCAGTTCGGACAGAGTGGAAAGCATCCGAAAGGAATTGGAGTTTGGATGCGCATCTTACTAGCAAGAGTACAGCTGGGGCACAAGGTGCGCAGAGCGAAAGACTGGGCACCCTTCCAAGTTGCTGGATGGCCCGGGAAAGAGGAAAGACTGGGAAGACGCACATGTCTTTCAATGTCTCCTTCTACCGGGTACTTCTTTTGGTACCCTTTCCCTGCCTTGTCTTACTAGCGAGGTGAAGATTCACTCCTGGTGGGGAGAAGCAGCATCAAGTTGTCCACACTTGTCCATGGCATTTCCAACCGCGTGCGCTGACGCAACACCAATGCAATGCCAGTTCACAAACCTTCGCGAATTTTACGGGGGATGATGAACATCATGGCATGTCTTCGCCTTCAGAAATCCGGATCGCCTGTGCCAAGACTTCAAAGTTCCATCTTTGATCATCTTTGTCAGACGGTCCCAAGAGGTCAATCGTTCTGATCCCCACTTCAACAGCACATCAACCTCCAATTGTGTGTCCAATCGTTTGCCGTTGGAATCATGATTCCTGCTTGTTGATGCATGTGTTCAGCCTTTGATCCCAGAACCAGGGTCTACCGCTTTGTCAATCCGGGCGAGGTCGCCGCCGTAGCAGTCTGCTTGGAAACAGCTTGGTTTGAGGCTCAGTTTTGGTTGAAGCGTTTGGAGTTGAAGGAATCATTGCCTTTTGCTATTGGATTGATTTAGTAGAGGGGATACCCCAAAGTGTGTACAAGCGGTCCAAGGTTGGACATCACTGGGAGGAACCACTCAAGGTCGTCCACTGAAACGTTCAGGAGACGCATCTAGGGCGAGACAAAACATGTCCACCAAGGACAGTGTACATTCTTAAAGAACCAATGAATATGGTTTAAGAAGAAATCTACAGGAGTTCATCCCCAAAACGATGGGTGTCCAGTCGCTGTTCCCTTGGGGTCTCACGACCTCGCAACAAACGCAGCTTGGCATCTTAAGGCTTGAGACGTTGAAGATCCTTCGTAAGATCGGGCAGCTTCCAGTGCTTCGACTCGGAGCGACAAATGGAGTTCGCAACAACACTATGACGAACGCATGGTCCCTTGGAAGTAGATATATACACATATGAAGCCACCATGACGGTACTACATGCAGTCTAATTAGACATGTCTAGACAATGATTCTGTTTAAGGCTCTCGTTGCAGGTCTTTGGTTGTGTTTCTTTTGGTTCAATCGGATGGCCAGAGTATTGTCGCAGGCTTGTTTTCGTGATGTTGATTCAGAATGTTGTGCAATTCCTGTTTGCATTCTTGTTCGTCACTGTTCATTGTGGTGGTTCAGGAGGAGGCACTAGAAACAAATTTGTCAAACGCATGGATTAAATTGGTTACGTTCCGGAAGCATTTGTCATTTCACTAAAGCCATTCGCTGTTTTCACTAGATGGCACAGCCAGGTATCCAAGCAATATCGACCTCCCTAATGTTGGTTTCGTTTCGGCCGTTCACTGGCTCACGGCACGTCGACTGGAAGCTTCTCAGTACATACTACTTGGCACTGTCGAAGACCGACAGTGCGAACCGGGAGAATGGATGAAGAGCATCATGACGACATAGTGGCTGATGGCCTTCTCGAGGTTGTCATGATAGATTCACATGTCATCACATGTCAAGAAATTATACTACTAGGGGGAATATGGGTTTTCCAGCCCATGTGTCAGGACGCTCGTTTTGTGGCGTTCGAAAAACAATTAGTAATTATACTGTACCTTGCCTCATGCTGGACCTTCATTCTATTCCCCTTCAAACGCAAGGGTTCAATTTAGTGCCTCCCTAGGTTAGGCGCGCCAAAGCGTGTATCAATCTTCGCATGAAAGCCGTGTCTTGCTTATTACATGATCTTGGTTACAATGGCACTGGACAATGCACTGGTCAACTCAGGGTACAGGCTCTACCACTGCAAATGACAACAACTTTAAAGAGAATATAAGTACGGATGATGTGCTGTTTTTGAAGCCATATGAAGCCACCAAGCTGCTTCAAGCTCCAGCCATGGAAAGTGAAATGACACCACTACCCTTCTTTCAGGCATTTTGGGGATTCCATGTAGTGCTCTGCAGGGGAGTCACGCTGATTCTCCATCGCTGGACTGATTGGCCGATGCTGATCCTCCATCGCCCCGATCTGTTCGCGCCAAAGCTGACCGGCGTTTCGCAACGCTTGCGCCGGTCGTTTCGCGTGCAGAGAAAGTTGGCGTGGGACTCGGGGGATCCCTACCAGCTGGAATGCAGGAGAAGGGAAACATGAAAATATGGGTTCTTATTATAGATGTTGGGAATATAGATGTTGGGCAAGTTTTGCTAGTGAAGCAGTGGTATGATGAGGGAGTTAGCTGAGATGGCAACATCCCTGATACTCGTGGGATTGCTGGGATTGTTGACCGCGCACCACGGCTAAAATGCCTTTGGGATTATTCTTTCCTTGTAACATCTACACTCTTGGTTTTGCTTATATAAGGGTGTTGTTTTTCCGATTCACCCACCCGTTCTGGGGAAAGCTATGTCTTCCCGGCTGCTGGACTTAGAATACCATCCACTGCCGAATTCTCTCAGCCATTCTCAGCCTCTTTCAGGACCGATGGAGTGCCCCTGACGGATGGAACTCCTCCGTGTCCGTGGACACGGTCGAACTCCTCCGGTCGCGCAGGTGGCGCCCAAGCAAGAAGACTTCCAGGCGAGGCTGGCGCCGGGACCGAGGCTCTCCGGTGAGGTGGGTGAAGCAAGAAGAACCAAGGAAATCTGTGTGGAGTCTGGGGGAGCTGTCAGTTGATTGGACATGGTGTTTAAGGAGAATGTGGTTGGGAATTGGGAGCCGGCCTGAAGGATATGGAGCTCAGGTTGGGTTGGGTGATGCTGTTCTTTGCTTGCAGGCGGCTCACGTGTGGCTGTTGGTTTCTACCGCCCCATTGCATGTGAGGACGGCTGAACTTGGATGCAGCTCCCGAGCTGAGTGTGGTCGGATCCAGAAAGAGATTCGGGTCAATTGGTGTGTTGCTACTCCTTCAATATCCTTCATACTGTTGACGGAAACATCCATGGTCCATGTTTGTATACAATAGGTTCCTCCCTGCTTATTGAAGAGGAAGTCCGATGAGAGTCCCATTGCAAGATGACCGAAACATCCAAGCACTTTTAGCACACCATGTAGTGCTCAGTTGTTGTTCTCAAAAGAAACGAAACAGGAGGTGGGAAACTGCATAGCACTGCGATTGTACATGTCCTTTGCCTGCAGTGTTTGAGACTTGCTCAAGCTTTTTCTCCCTGGTGCTCAAGCTTTCCTCATGGCTCTCCGTCGATTCAACGCCGGCGGCAAGAAGCAGAAGGACTCCTTGCAGTATGTTGTGCTATGTGGTCGCAGGTGGTTGCGATGGGAATTCAATACAGAAATGACTCGAGTTCGACAGACATGTCTCAAAGTCAGTTAGCTACCAATGGGGTTCAATGTTTCTACCCAGGCGTGCCAAACAGCCCCATCCATATGAGGGTCCGACCCCTCCATATGAGGGCCCTATTTTGAAAGTCCCCCACGGAGGTCCAACCTCGAAGCGCCACCCGAATCTGACAGATCTGCTGTTCGAAGGATTGAAGGAAAGTGGGAGTGCCAAGTGGATCAGACCATCCAAAACAGAATCAAACAAAGCGCCGGGCAGTTGGTGTGAGTGAAGAGATGTTGAGTATGGTATATGGTATGGTCCACCATTGTTTGTTGTGATCGTCAAAACGACTTGTTGAGCCGCTGGTCCCCTCTCTTTGATTCTGTGGAGCGCGGTTAGGGTGATAGGGCGGCTTGCCGCTCAGCTCAGCTGACAGGTGCAGTGGCGCTCTCCTGGCCCACACAAAACATTGACCTTATGCCCTCTAATTCATTACCATTAATTACCTATCTATACCATCTATACCCTGGTTTTTGGCAGATCGGATGATGCTGATTCTCCCAAACTGACCCAATCCTTTTCTGGGGCGTACGGGTCCAAGGATCTTTTCCGGGGAGAATCCGGAAGCGAGCGCGAAGCGAAGCGCTTGCGGCTTGCGGAATTGGGGTTCTGCTTGGGAGCTTCTTCTAGCGGATGAAAAGTGAGGGGGGGCAATCATCAAAAGCGTTTGACCAAGGTGTTCAACAACTCATTTCAAGAGATTTGAAGAGGCTCAGTCTCAGCACGTTTTTGCCGGGCAACTCGGCAATGTCCGCCTGATTCTCGTGCCACGCCTTATTCACGCGTTCCAGCCACGCCTTTTCCCTTCCATGCCAAGCAATTCCGCTTTTGGAGGAGTTGACGGATGAGCAGAAGCAGGAGATTAAGGAAGCCTTTGACCTCTTCGACACGGATGGCTCAGGTGCACCTGATGGCTCGTCGTGAGGCACACAGTGTAGGTTGTTGCGATTGTTGTATGCTGGTTTGCAGTGCATTGTGGTGTACATGTGGGTGAGGGAAAGATTCAAGTGAATGAAATGCTCGTGCACTCTCTCCACAGCTTTCTCGGGTGTGATGCGGATATTCGGGACTCTCTTCACCAAACCTTCTCCTGACTGGAAGAGAGTATAGACACATCAACCTATTTTGAACATTCGAAGCAAATATGAATGACGAATAGCGGCAATGGCATGCTATGGCTCAAAACTAGGCTTAGGGTTATCCCCCCAAACACCCCAATGTTTATATAACTCGGGAAATAGGAGTATCCTAGGGCCACGTCTAAGAATTTACCTCCCTAGCCCTAGCTGAAAAACAATAATTGTGGCTACAGATGGCTACAGTATGTCGGAGAAAATGACTCCATTTGCTGGTTCCAGGGTCGGCAAGGATTTTTTTCAGAGTGCCATGTTACTTGGGTGATCAAGTCAGGATTTGACCCCCAAGTAGAAGCCATGGAACATGGCATGTTCACCGAACTTTTCCCGGAGAATCTCCCAAATTCTGACACTTGTGATGCGAAAGGAAGTAAATAACTTGGAGTTGAAAGGAATAGGTAACCGACCGATCGGTCAATAGGTGAGTGACTTGCAGTTGGATCAGTTGACTCTCCCTTCGGACGTCCGCTTCGTCACCAGGCGAGATCGACTCGAAGGAGCTCAAGGCGCGCCCCGCGAGCTCCCCGCGGGGTCGGAGCCCCGGTCTGTGCCCGGGTGAGCGGTCTGAACCAGGGCTTCCCACGCAGCGTGGACCGATCGGCCGGTGGCAGGTGGAAGTGTGGAAGTGTGATGGTGGGTTCGACTGTCGAATACTCCAGAGGGTTCGACAGAAGGTTTCCAGACGTTGCAGATCCGGTGATGTTTGGTTTTGGAGGTCATTCAGGCAGGTTTTGATGGGTCGCTGACTCCTCGCGAGGTCTGAAGTGGTGTCCGGTCTGAAGCGTTTCTCACGCGTTCCACGTTCCGGTTCTCAGGTCAGACAGTTCAGACAGTCACCGAGACAGGAACTTCGCAAGCAGACTCTTCGGTCGCATGACACTCCCTCTCCTTCTCCATGTCTACCTGCTTGATGTCCAAAATCTGCTTGTCGGTTCTTCAAAATGATTCGTATTGGCCTGAGGATGTTCTAGGCGGACCAAAGGTCATCACTTGCGTGATTGGAGACTTTGCGAGAGACGGTTTGAGACTTAGAGCTAACAGATGAGCGATTTTTGATCACACAGCTAGTTGGAGTGAGGAGTACCCAGGCAGGAGAATCATTCCCATGCATTTCACTCTTGTGTTGATGATGTTGATGGGAGGGAGTGCAAGTAGAACAGAAGGTTTTGCTTGCATGCGCACTGAATGAATCAATGCAGTTTCTGAAGTTCAGACACTTCGCAAACCAACTGGCAATCTACCGACCACACGTTGTTCACACCTCACATGTGTTTTGGGAAGTATCGTTGTGTTCATGTTACCGTCGGTTTCTGTGGTTTAGGATGTTGCAGAAGTGCCGATAGCCTATACGTGTGAAGCCTTTGACGCATAGGTTTACGGCGTAGTCCAGTCTTTGCAAAGCGCTTTTTTGCAGCAACGTCATGCAAAGCAATGCAACGCATGTTCGGACAAAAAACCTGAGAACTCATCGGTGTATCCGAGTGGCGATCCCCCAAAAGCGAGGATACAACATGGTACAACCATGAGTCATGGACTCGTCTCTCGGAGAACTCGGCGGGGTTCGTAGGTGGCCATGCGCGCACTGGGTTTCGAGCCCAAGAAGGTTGGCACCGCGGCGGGCCTGACTTCTCCAAAAACATGATACATGAGACAACCTAAAAAACATTGAAAAAAAGAGGCAGATCTTGGGATTACGTCTGTTATGCGGTCTGGCTTTCCTTCGACAATATCTCGGGATTCGTTTTTTTCGATGCTCAGAGCTTGGGTCCTCGATCCTTTTCGATCCGTTTGGATCCGTTCAACGCTTTTGAAAACAATGAGTTACAGTGTGTACAGTAGTCTGATGTTTCGGGACGGGATATACTAGCATACATCCTTTCAGTTGTACTTGGGGCATTGGAAAAGATGTCGCTGGTCGAGGGCTTTGAGACATAAGGCTGGTTTGCTGGAAGAGATCCAGGAGTGGCCCCCCGTGTGTTTCTTCATGTCCTGTGGCAGGAAGAGATTCAGAAGATGATTTCCGATGTGGACGATGATGGAAGTGGCACCATCGGCTACGAGGAGTTGCTTGGACCGGACCAGAAGCTGTGGACGCCCTCGGTTGGAAACCACTCGGAGCTTTTGGTTGCACCCTTCGCTCCGCTGCACCAGAGGAGGTCCTTCTGGTTAGTATCGCGACTCCGGTGTGTTGAAAAGGTGCAACCGGACATGGAAGCGGCAAGCTGCCCCTTTTTGTATGAAGAATCCCATTCTTCCATGGTGCCGAGTGGCCATGGCAATCCTCAAAGCATTGGACACAGGAGAGAACACCATTTGTTGCTCAGCATGGCTGGTCCCAGCGGAGTCCGACCGTGTTTCCGGAACGACGGTTTTTCTTTGTTTCGCCCACGGCCGGCCGACGTGGCCATCGAGCTGCTCGCTGTGAGTGAACCACCTCATGCGCCCCACCATCCCCAATCGCAGCTGGCTTTTTGGGGCACCAAAATGCAGAGTCCAGCGGCACGGCCGGACTGGTGGTGCCTTCGCGTTTGACCCATCCCGCCGGCCGGAGGATGTGTTGTTCGGAAAAGGCACCAGATTGGGGGCAGCAAGACACCAGATGATTTGAGATGGTTTGATGTTTCTTGCTGACTATATAGATTCCAGATATTCCAGATGGGCTCTATCTTGGAGAACTAAAGCAGTCGCAGAAGCGAGCGAAAGGTCCCTGGCACCCCCACAGGAGACAGAGGACCGCACAAGGGTCAAAACTGCGGGACCTCAGTTGACCAGCGCAAATGAACAGAATACCGAATACCCGACTATATAATAAGGAGGTCAACCAACCAGGGTGAGTCCCGGGCTCTGGGTGCCATGACCAGCCAAGTGCGGTGCAACCGGTCGTTTTTTTGGGGGGTTGGAACCCCCCCGTGCTGGGAGGCCAGCCGAACCTCGGCCGAACCTCGATCAGATCAGGTTTTTGAAGATGATGACGCACAAGATCCTGAATCGCGACCCGCCTCTCGGTGCAGACATTCGTCGGACCCCCACTGCCGTCGGACCGCATGCCTTCGTCCGACTCACCGGGACAGCGACACCGCGGTGCCTGGTTTCGGTGGAACCTTCGGCTTGGTCAGGCACTAAAGGCCCTTCATATTATGGTTTTTCAGCAAGGTTCTACGCTGGGATGTTAGAGGTGAATTTGCTGGTATTGGCAATTATATCTGTTTGAGTCGAGAGCAGTTCACGAACGCCGATCGTTCATGAACACCAAGTTCGAGGTTGCTGAATGTCAGCTGCCTTTTGGATCGAACCGCCAGTTGAAAGGAAAAGGTCCGCCGTTCATCCATGTGCGTTTTTTCTGCTGTTTGCTCGCTGGAATAGGTTATGAGCCCAACAGCTTGACCGCCGCCAAAGCCGATGTCGCTAAACCAAAGAAGAAGAAGAGCGACGGCAGCAGAACTCGCTCAAGGTGAAAAAGAAGTGAAGCAGGCGCAGGAGCGTCTGGAAAGGGAACTGAAGGAAAGCGGTGAGTTGGCCTTGGAGGACGACCAAGGCAGTGAAGTGAAAGGAAAAAGGATAGGAAAAAAGGGGCAAAAGGAAGCTTCGGAATCCCATCCAAGTCAAGGGACTCCTTCCACGGCAGCTGCACCAACCACCGTGACTAGTGCTTCGAAGGTCACCAACTCTGTTGCAGGTAGAACACCAGAGGTGAGGGGACCGCCAATGCCTTTGAGTTCGACCCCAAGCACAAAAGAAAAGGTTGCAAAGGGTCGAGAAGATGTGACTTCTATCACCCCCTACAAGGCCGAAGAAGAGGTTGAGGTAGGAAAGGGTGGAGAAGAAGAAGAAAGTAAAGAAGAAGGATTTCAAGTGGATGTGTTGCCAAATGGTACCCATGAGATCCTTTCGATCGCAACACCACCGGAAGCTGTGAAGCCTCTGTTTGACAGGGAACAACTACAGGGCCTTCATGAAATGTATAGCCAAGCTCCTCTCTTGTATCCACAGTTCCAAACTCCTCAAACGTCCTTGCACCGTCCTGGCTTCCTCGCTGATGAAGAAGAAAAGAAGGAAGTGGCAAGAAAAGCAAGGCAAGAAAGGATGATGGAAGAGGAAAGACAAGAGTGGGAGGCTGCAGAAAGGTATGAAAAGGAAGAAATGAACCGCCGCATTCGCCTGCTGTCTCAGGAGAACCAACGACTCCGAGATCAAGCAACTGGCATCTATCCTCTGACGAGGACCAGGCTGGAAAGTGACGAGGTTCAGAAAAGACAGATTTCTCAGCTCTTTGAGGAGAATCGACTTCTCAAGGTGCATTTGCAACGCCTCTTGACAGCACAGCAGGAGGTAAAAGAAGATGAAGCTGTTTTCGCCACCCCAAACGGTAGCGCTGAAGCAGGTGATTCAACCCGACCTCCTGAAGCTGAAAGAGGAGAGGAAGAGTTGAAGACAGAACAAACAAAAGAAGAAGAACAAAGAACAGGAAAAGGAGGAACTGTTCCAAGGAAAAAGAAAAAGGAAGAACCAGTTGAATCTATGGACACTCAGCACCAGACGCTCACGGTCGTCCTCAAGCTGGTCGAAGGCATGCAAGAGTTGCAGAAGAAAGTGCTTCGTTCGCAGCGAGATGAAGACGGAGCAGAAGCTGAACTGGTTCGCAATGCAGTCGAACTACCAAAGTTGCCAGAGTGGAGCCCGGAGTCGTCGCCCATTGACTATGCAGACTGGCTGTTGTTGCTGCAGCCCATCATGGCTGACCTGTCCACCACAAGCGAAACTTGGTGGGAAGAAGTTGTCCGGGTGGCTCGCTCTTGGTATGAAGATCATATGGCCAAAACTCCACTGGAAAGGTTGGGGCACAAGGTTCATCCATCGTCAGTCCTCAATCAGAAGAAGTGGTCGCGGCTTGAGAAAAGGGCATCAGGGTTACTCCTGACCGCCATCCCAAATTCCTTGAGAGAAGAAGTTGTTGCATCCAAAAGCATCTCAACACTGGGCATCCTGGTTCGAGGCATGGAGCTGTATCAACCTGGAGGTCTAGCAGAACGCCAGGCCATTCTCAGTGCCCTTGAAGCCCCGTCGGAAGCTCAAAGTGTTGGCTCGTGCATTGCCACCCTACGAAAGTGGATCCGATGGAAAAGACGTGCTGAAGAGTTGGGGGTTAGTGTACCAGATCCCACCATTCTTGCCAGAGGCCTAAGCTGCATGCTTCGGAAGATCCTGACGCTCAACCAGGACTTGAACTTCCGCCTCCAACTGGCAAGATCGTCGTTGATGATTGACTCGGTCCCAAATCATGCTTCGATCACCCAGTATGCCGAGCATGTGATGGCTGAGCTGGAACAGGTCAATTTGCAGAGTCGAAAGAAAGATCCTCCTGCACTACCTGATCCTACAAAGTTGAAGCGATTTGAGGAAGTCAACAAAGAAAAGAAGGAAGGACGAGATCGAAAAGATGTAGAAGAAAGAGAATCCAACAAAGAAAAAGGAAAGTGTCGGTTCTACCTGACAGACTCAGGTTGTCGACGTGGCAAGAGTTGTGGCTACTCCCACGACCTCAAGGACGAAAGAAGAAGGTGCTGGAATTGTGGCTCAATAGACCATATGGCTCCAGCATGTACAAGACCCAAGGAGGTGAGGGACTTCTCATCGAAGCCAAAGATCGCCAAGGCTGAGAAAGAGAAGGTTGAAGGAGGAAAGGGTGAAGTGGACCAAAATGATGGAGCTCCATCCATCAAAGAGTTGATCAAGGAGGCGAACGACATGTTGAAGAGCATGCATTCCTCGCCATCATCATCGCAAGCTTCTTCACCTGTTTCAGCCCTCCCTCAGGAGCAAGAACGAAAAGAAGTGATGGAAAAGCTACAGCAACAGTTGAACACGTTGCGCATGAAAACGTTCAGGTTGAAGAGATTGCAGAAGGGAGAAAAAGAAGGGCTGCTGGACAGTGGTGCAACTCATCCTCTTCGTCCATTGAAAGAAGGGGAAGATCAAGAACACTACAAGAAGGTCCATGTCTCCCTTGCAGATGGAAGCACGGCCACCCTGGCCATCAGTCCAGGGGGAGCGATGATCTCTGAGGACTTTGACATTGAGCCGATCATACCCATGGGCTTGCTTGCTGACCAGCTCAACTGTTCCATATCCTGGTCGAAAGGGCGTTTGGAGGTGGAACATCCGACCTGGGGGAAACTGCCAGTGGAAGATCGACATGGGTGTCCTCAGTTGCCACGTCGCCTGGCTCTGCAGTTGATTGATGAACTTGAGAAAGCGAAGTTGGGAATGAACTATGAAGAAGACGATGACTTTGAGGCAGAGCTCAAATGGATGCGAGACTTGGTGCAACAACATCCGGTGTTGTCCAGGCTTCCGGACTATGTCAAGGATAGTTTGGTTGTTTCTCCTGCACCTTGGTCTTCGCTGCCTGCCAATAGAAGAATGAGGAGAAGCATGAAGAGAAATGGCTTCGTGTGCCACCTTTATGCAGGTGAAGCAGATGGATTTACCCTTGGTCGGGCATGGAGTCAAGCAGGAGGAAAAGATGCTGAGCTCCTCGAGATCGACCTGAAGAGAGGAAAAGAACACAACATGCTGACTCCGGATGGGCCCTATGGAGGTCTGATGAGAGCAGTTCTTGAAGATCGCTTGCTTGGCCTGGTCGGAGGCCCCAATTGCAGGACTCGTTCAGTTCTGAGACACTACCCCGTTGAGGGGGAGATGCCACCAAGACCCATTCGTCGTTGGGGAGGTGAAGAAAATGGCATCAAAGAAGCTACTGAAGAAGAAAAAAAGAAAGATTCAAGAAGACGACATTTTGTTGTGGCGCATGGTATTTCTTCAAATGGTTTCCACCTACATGAGGAGGGCCAGGGGAATTTCAAAAGAACCAGCATTTGCTTTAGAACAACCAGCATCCCCGAAGGCCTACAAGCCGGAAGTGGCGTCGTTTTGGGACACCGAGGAATGGAAGATGCTTCAGAAGGAATTCCAGTGGAATGAAACCACCTTCCACCAGAAGCCACTTGGAGGTCAGACTGCAAAGCCAACAACGTTTGCAGGAACCATGAAGCTCAACCCTGAAGAACACTACATGAAAGGGGAAAAGAGGTCGACAGTCAAAGGTTCTTGGGAGTTGGCACGATGGGCGCCGGGCATCATGCACATGTTGTCGAGGTCCTTGCTCCTCCATGCCTTTGGTCGAAGCCCGCAGTTGAAAGCTATGTCCTGGGAAGAACATATCATGTTTGGACACACTCCAGCACGAAGAGATTGTTTGGTGTGTCAGCAGAACCAACAAAGTTCGCCTCATCGCAAGGTCAAGAAGCCCTTGGCTGGAGTGCTCTCCTTGGACACTGCAGGACCGCTGATTCCTGCATACAATCAGGGCGGACACATGGCCCGCTACTTCCTCGTTGGAACCTTCACATGGGCAGTGCCGAAAGGGAGGAAAATCGAAGAACCTCCTGAAGATCAACAGTTGGACAAGGAGGCTGAATTTGTGGCCATTGAACCAGGTGAAGACGAGGATCAAGGCCATCCAGAAGATCAACAAGATGAAGAAGAAGAGGACCAACAAGTGGAGGACCACGATGAGAGTCAGAAAGAAGAGTCAAATGAAGAAGAAGAAGAACCAAAGTATGTCTCAGGTGGCCTCTCCGATGCTGAAGAAAGGGAAGGTCGAGAAGTCGATCTATACCAAGAAGAAGAAGCAGCAGAAGAGCCTCAGGACTATGACATTGAAGTCTTCAGGCTGGCTGAACCAATGCACACAAAGAAGGCCAAAGAAGTCACAAGGACCACAATGGAAATGATTTTGAGGTTGAAGATCGACGGCTACACCGTCAACAAGATACACACCGATCAAGGTCGGGAATTTTCAGGCCAATTTTTGGACTGGACGCGCAGAAGGGGGATCATCGTCACCAAAACCGCAGGGGACGAACCCCAGTCCAACGGCCGTGCAGAGGCCGCAGTGAAAGCATTGAAGAATATGGTTCGCAAGGCATTATACCAAGCTGGCGAAACGGCCAAGTGGTGGCCCTGGGCGCTCAAGCACTGCGACGAGGTGCTCAGGTGCAAGCGCACTTACCAAAAACCTTCCTTTCCGCCCTTCATGCAAGAGGTCCTGGTTCGCCGACGTCGATGGAAGCTGGGTGAATTTTCACCTACCATGGAATCAGTCAGGTATTTGGCACCATCTCCTCAGAACCACGGACACTGGATTGTGAAGGAAGGGGAAGCTCCAAGGCTCACAAGGAGCGTGGTGAGAAAAGTGTCATCGGCTCCGGAAGAGGGGCATTGGATCGCCCTTGAAAAGGAACTCTTGGACGGCCTCTCCCTAAGAAGAAGGCTGAGGGAGAAAACCTGTGTCAAACGCATTGAAGGAAGAAAGGAGGATGAAGAAAGAAAGACCGAAGAAAGAAGAAGGCTCAAGATGGTGATTGCTGAAGAGATGAAGCGTGTCTATGGTGACCACCCTCAAATGGCAGTCGAAACCATCAGCATCGTTGAAAAGCTGAGGAAAATGTCCGAAGCGCTGGAAGATGAAGAGGAAGAGGTGCTCCAGACGAAGATCGTCTCGCAGAAGGAGGTCTTGGCAGAATGGGAAAAATGGATTGAACCAGCCACCAACGAGATCGATTCCCTCATTCCAGAGAAACGAGCACTTCGGCCTCAAGAAGAAGGAGAAGTACAAAAGAAGATTGAAGAAGCGAAGAAAAAAGGGGTAGTCATCGAACTGATCCCATCCAAGCTCGTGTACACCAAGAAGCCAGGTCGCCGAGGTGGAAAAAGGAAAGTAAGATGGGTGGTTTGTGGCAACTTTGAGTCACGAACAGCTGAAGAAGAAACCTATTCAGCTGGAGCCGATGCAACTGCATTTCGAGTCGCATGTTGGCTTTCTGCTCAGCACCAATGGAGTGGCTATGTGGTGGACGTCAAAACCGCCTTCCTGAATGCAGCCATGAACTCCACAGAAGACACCCAGCTTTTGTTGGTTGCACCTCCGCCGATCCTGGTGGAAAAGGGGTTGCTGAAAAGAGGGGTGATGTACATCCCAGAAAGGGCCATCTATGGATTGAGGAGGTCGCCTCGACTTTGGGGTGAACACAGAGACCACATCCTCGCCGATCTGGAGATCGCCATGAAAGAAAATGAAGAAGAGAAGGAGGTCCTTATCCTTGAGCCACTCGCATCAGAACCGAATCTGTGGCGAGTACTGTCTCGAGGATCTGACCAGCTTCGAGGCTTGTTGATGACATATGTTGATGACATTTTCATTGCCGGAAGCCCTGAAGTCTCAAAAGCCATCCTTCAAAAGATCATGTCAACTTGGACTACATCTCCGCCTGAAGAGATCACGGAAGAAGGCGTGAAGTTCTTGGGGATGGAAGTCAAGAAAAAGAAGTCTGAAGAAGGCCTCGACGTGTGGCATCTCTCGCAAAGGTCGTATTTGGCTGATCTCCTGGCCGCTGAAGACCCACAAATGAAGCCTCGAAAAGTGCCGATCACTAAGGATCAAGCGATGATGCCGAAGGACACTGGAACTACGTCTCCGAATGATGTCCGCCTGGCTCAGAAGATCGTGGGCGAAATGCTATGGGTCGTCACGAGAACCAGACCCGACATCATGTTCAGTGTGTCTCGTATGGCATCCAGCATTCTGAGTGGCACCAAGGCAGTCCAAGAAGCGGGAGCTCAGACCAAGGCCTATTTGAAGGCCACCCAAGATCAAGGCATTTGCTATGCCAAAGAAAAGGAAGATGAAGTGATGATCAACGTCTATACGGACGCCAGTTTTGCCCCATATGGAGATGAATCCCACGGCTGCACAGTGGTCATGGCAGGAAAAAGTCCCCTGTTTTGGAGAGCTGGAAAACAAAGCACTGTGTCCCTTTCCACTGCAGAAGCCGAGTTGAACGAAGTCATTGAGGGCATGATTGCAGGCGAGTCCGTGGGCGTGATATTGGAAGAATTGACAGGTCCTTTGCCTCATCTTGCTTGGACCGATAGCCAAAGCGGTCTCGCAATCCTGGTGAATGAGGGAGGATCCTGGAGGACGAGACACCTAAGAACGAGGGCATCCTACGCAAGGCAAGCCATTCAAGAGGGATCCTGGGGAATCCATCATCTCCCAGGTGATGTCATGGTCGCCGACACTGGCACCAAAGCCCTTGCTGCCTCGCGCTTGGAGGATTTGAAGAAGAGGATGAATGTGAGGTCGATTGAAGATGAGAAAGAAAGTGGAAAAGAAGTTGAGGAGCTAAAGAAGGAGGAGAAAAAGGAAGAAGGTCAAGAGAAGGAAGAAGGCTTGCAAAACAAGCACAAAGCAGCCACTGTCCTCAGGTTGCTCACCCTGGCAGCTACGATTTCGATAGCCGAAGGCCAAGGGGGAGTTGATGGTGAAGAAGAAAGTGATGTTCATCTTGGCTGGATGGTGTTTCTATACACCCTGATCGTGGTCATGCTGACCTCCATGGTCTGGTATCTGAAGGAGGGAGTAGCTGGAAGAAATCGCCAATCACGAAGTGATGTTGGTCGTGAACAGCGAAGTCCTCCCAGAACACCAGACCGAAGAACGAAGATGAAGGCAGCCAAGAAGAAAGATGATGAGGAAAGTGAAGAAGAAGTTGTCCGGCCCACCTATCTCCCAACTCCAACGCAGTCTCCATTGCCTCCGTCTCCATATCCAACTCCATCTTCAGTGCCTCTCACTCCGAGGGACCAACAGGTTCCGCTGACTCCAGTTTTGATTTGGGGAAGGCCATATGTTCCCCAACAGCTGATTCCAATGGAATCATTGAGCCAACAGATGACACAAAAAGAGAAAGAAGAGGAAGAAGAGAAGCGAAAGAAGAAAGAGGAAGATGAGAAGCGACAGCAAAAAGAAAAAGAGGAGGAAGAAGAGAAGCAAAGAAAGAAGGAGAAAGAAGAAAGGGATTCGAAAGAAGCCGCATCATCGGCATCCACTATGCCACCGGCAGCTCAGGCCGGAGGAAGTCGAAGCAGGAAAGGAAAACAAGAAGAAGAGGAAGAAGTGGTTCTCACAACGCGGTTCGGGAAAGTTCACCACCGAACCAGAGAATGTGACTACTTGAAGGCGCCAAGAACTGGCGAAGCTCGCCAGTCACCATGGTGTGGCCTCTGCAAGGCCAATCGAGGAACACCAACCAATGTGACCTTGTGGTGCAGCTCATGGGGTGCTTCAGTGCACTCGAGCCGAAGCTGTGCCAACCTCGGGATCACAGATCTCTTGCGGTTTACACCCTGCTCCAGATGCAGGACCCAGAACGAATGAAAAGGCAGTTTGAGCTGGACACAGGCCATCAAGGCCGATTTTGAAAGTTGAGGAAGAGAAAAGAATTGGCACTCCCTGTCGGAAGGCCAAAGGGGGAGTGTTTGAGTCGAGAGCAGTTCACGAACGCCGATCGTTCATGAACACCAAGTTCGAGGTTGCTGAATGTCAGCTGCCTTTTGGATCGAACCGCCAGTTGAAAGGAAAAGGTCCGCCGTTCATCCATGTGCGTTTTTTCTGCTGTTTGCTCGCTGGAATAATATCTATGTATATATATATATAGTGATTTATATTAAAATATTGAAAATTATGGGAATATGTTCTAATTTTTGTTCCTTCCTGGGAGCACTCACTCACGCTGGGAGCACTCACTCACGCTGGACGCCAACCACCGTCCGCCGGCCACCCCGACTTGGCGCTTCGGTGGACACAGGAAGGACGAGATTCTGAAGGCGTTCCGTCTCTTCGATGACGACGAGACTGGCAAGATCTCCTTCAAGAATCTGAAGCGCGTCGCCAAGGACCGCAGCGGAGCCGCATCCCGGAGCCGCAGCCCGGCGCGCGTTTCTCTCCTCGCGCGCGGTTTCCTGAGCGAAACCCCGCCGGTGGCTTTTCCGGATTTTCGGGTGTAGAGTGCTGGGGCGGAAGAAGCCTGCGTTTTCAGCTAAGAGTGGACCGCAAGCAAGCAGAAACTGGATAATTAAACTCCCCGTTGATGATGAAGTTTATACAATCCAAATGGGTGTGTGTTTTATTCACAAGAGAGTCTACATTATTTACTCCATGGTAGAGGGTGGCAGAAATTGTTAACATCTTGACCGTCATTGGCTTTGTGTCAAAACAATGCCTCCACCGGATGGATTGATTTCTTGGTTGCCTATGTTCCCACGCCGAGTTTTGCTGAAGAGTTAAAAGAGACAACCCAGGGCTCTAAATCAACCCCAATGGATCCCAGTTACCACGAGTTTCGGTCAGTCTATGGTTTTAGTCTTTGGAACGAACCACCGGTTGCCAGCAAAAAAAAAGGTATACCCTGAAAGTCGAAGAGTATGTTTAACAATGGTCTTAGGATGACCTGGAAAAAAAAAGAAATTTCTTTTACTTGGCTGCCAAAAATAGTCAAACTGGACTTCAGTCGGGTATACTCTGGATTCCAAACGAGAAACTTCCAGTCGACCAAGTCGCAGCTCTCAGTGCGGAACCGCAGCCGTCGCTCTCCGCCAAGCTCTTGTAGGAGCTCGGAGAGCGCATGACTGATGAGGAGATGCGCGTTTGTCAAGGGACTGGGGTGGGGTGCAGAGCCGAAGTGGAAGGATGAAGCGCCATGAAGGGTATGTTCCAACTTATAGTTACAGGAGATTGAAATGCTCCAATCAAAAGACATGAAAGTGAGATCCAGTGACATACCTTTTTACCAACTGAACTGAAGAAAATTGGCCTTCGAACCACCAACCAAACCAAAAGCTCACCTGACCAACCGTCGTACACCCAATTCTCCCAGGAGCTGCAAGAGATGATCGACGAGGCCGACCGCGACGGCGACGGCGAGGCCCGGGAAGTTTGGCTGGTGGATTTTTGGGTTTGGGTTGGTCAGTAGAGAGGAATGTTTTATGCATAGTTGTCCATGTTTGGGGAACTGGCTCGTTGATGTTTTCGGAGACTTGCTTTGTTTGTTTTTAAGAGTGTCAGTTTGGTCGACCTCAGCGTTTGAGCAGCGGTTTGTGTCCATCTCCAAGCGTTCGCGGCGTTCGCTTTAGACCAGCTCTTGGGAGATGTTTCTGGTGGAAAGCTGGCCTAAAAATGCAAAGGTTCCATTTCTTCCTAAATGACGTCGAAAATGGTGCAGAATATGGGACTCATCGAGGACTGGGGATGGGACGGAGCAGGTTGATCGGGTGAAGCAAAAACGGTGCCTCCTTTGCATGATTCATCTGCAACGGGGCCAGAGGTCTGCCGTTCGGTTCGGCGATGGTCGGCGGTGAAAACCGGTCAAGCCCATGGTTTCCGGGCCGATTCGGGGTTGTTTGTTTCGAGTCATTTGGCGGGTCAGGTGAACGAAGAGGAGTTCCTGCGCATCATGAAGAAGACAAACCTTTTCTGAGCACATTGTTATGGCGAAGGTTCACAACACTGCTCAGTCAAGCACCTTGGCCTTGGCAGTCAATCACTTGGCCAAGCATGCACATGCATGCACCTTCTAAAATCTTGCAAATGCCAGAGTCGTAGATTCGTAGATTTCATGTGCAGTTCAACGAAGTATTCCTGTAGGTGTTCCCTTGGTGTTTCCTTGAACCAACACGAGCACCCAGGCATCTAGGAGGACACAACGAATGCAATATTAATCAATATATTCCATGATTTCTATCCCACACACTGCTACATCAATCTGCATCACATGACCACACTTTAGAGGCACTACTCCAAAAGTTCTATGTGCTCCTTTTCCGGAGAAGAATACGACGAACTCACGACGTTCAACGAACGATGACTCGAGCGCTGTTGTTTCGCCTGTAGAGGATCCATCGATGGCGAAGGAACCATCGAGTGCTCAAGTCGATGAGTGTCGATGCGCTGCATCGGTGCTCGTGTCATGCCAGGTGTGGGCATTGGCCAGGTACCACTGCCCACAAAAACGGATCAGCAGCACCTCAATAGTTCCTTCAATTTACTACACGTGGAGATATGCAGATAGTGAGTTGTAGAGGTGGAACGCGCCTTTGAGGGAAAGTGGGAAGCAGCATCCCTTTTGTCGAAGGATCTTCAAACACATGACCAGGGATTCCACAAGAAGTGCTTAATGGATCTTAATGGAATTTAATTGATATATGGGGTGTTTAATGTCCATTCAATCCAGAGGTATAGGGTTCCAAAAGTCGGGCATCGACCCGCTCAACCCATCACTGTCCCATCACTGTCCCATAAAAACTCAGCTGTCACGCTGTCGAACACCCTGGCTAGTCATTCTTGAGCTGCGCTATGTACAATGTCCCTTGTGAATGCATTTGCAACTGTGACTCAATGATGTGAGAAAAGGCCGGGTCTGAGGTCTCATGCATTCTCCAAATCCAGTTTTCTTCAGAAACCTTTGGAACCTGGAACTAGAGTCTCGCCACGTCTCGCCAGTCTCGACTCTGACCAGCCCACAGTTCCACAACGACCCCACTTGAAGCCAGGGAAAGACAAGACAAAGAGGCTGGTAGTGAGGCTGTTACTAGTGGCTTCTTGTTAGTAGTAATGTACTTGTTACTATAGTAGTAATGCCCTTGTTACGTTCGTAGCTTGGTCTGGGTTCAATCGGGTATACCCTCTTACCACCGAATCTCTCGATCCCTGGGACACTCACCGTTTCTCTCCGAAACGCCGGGATCCGGCGGTTGAAGTTCCGGACTCGGCTGGACTCGGCTGGGGCTCGGCTTGACTTCGAAACGATGGAAGGGTTCCCAGAATCTATTTGTGGATGATAGAAAGGTGGCTCCATTTGGACATCACTCCGCGGTTCAGTGCTCAGTTTTTGCGGATGTGTGATGACTTTTCGAAAGACGGATTCGGCAATCTCCTTCCACAGTGGTGGGGGGACCAACCAAGGTAAGTATAGCAACTGACCGCTCTCACCATCCATTGTGGAGTATGCCAAACCCATGCGAGAAGGGGTCAACAACAATGCAAAACCGCCGGTGCTGGTCAAGGATTCCCGCTGGTCTTCCAAGAGCCAGTCTGGGGACCAGCGAACCCAGCCGATGACGAAGTTACTCCATACGACTCACCGTGTTGCGCTGCGCTCGTTGCACTGCGATCGGTTCGAAGGGGCTCTCTTCCGTCCAGCAGCGGAGCCCCAAAAACCGAACCGAACAGGCCCCGGAAGCACTGCTTCAGAGCGCCTCGTCCGGGCCTCGGTGACCGGAGCGAGGACCGAGGAGGACGGACGCAAGCGGAACCGTTCTGACGTGCATGTAGAATCCTGGAAACTGCAGAAACCGCATGAAACGGTGGCAGTTTCGACATGGAATCAAATGGGACGGGTTTTTACTGGTATGTTCTTTGTTGGTCGCTTTTCTCGAGTTTCTCCGTTATCCTTTGCGCCCGTCCGCATCCGTAGTACAAGAATCGCCGCGGGGAGCGGGTAGTAACAAGGAACCGAACGTAGCTGGCATTACTACTAACAAAGGGCATTGCTATACTAGTAGCATTCTTACTAGGAACAAGAAGCTACGAACGTAACGAATTGGCCGTTTGGGATCCATCCAGTTTGAGGGACTCGGCGCTGGCTGAGTATGTGTTCTGTGGGGGTTTTGGTGTTTGCCGCTGGTTTTGTGTTCAACAAAGAAGGCGTTGGGACACGCTGAAAGCACGTGGCTGATTCTAAGACGCCCCACAAAGCGCACCAGATCCAGATCCGAAGCGGTTGCCAAACAGAAAGGTTTTGAGAAAAGATAATGTACCTCGAATAATGTATAAGATAATGTATAATAAGCATTATTCAAGGAATATAAGATTAGTTTCGTTTCGTTCACCCACCTACCCTACCTTCACCCCCCACAGCGAAGCTCGGGGCCATGAGAAGATCACACGTGAACCCGGAGACGCCACCGTTGGTGGAGTTTTGATGTATATAAAGTATTTGTACGGGATGGATTGCAGCTCGTAGGTCGCGTGTGGAGATGTCCCTATTCCTGGACGAATTGCTAGAACAGACCCAGCTGTACTGGTGCTTGAACTTGTGAATCGCACGTCCAGCGATGGGTCGCGAGCACGTTTCTTTCAGCACCTTGTTCCTTTGAAACCTACAAAATCTTTGTTCGACCGACTCAATCCATTCTGTTGCCGGGCTTGGAGAGAGTTGCCTTTCACTATTAAAGCTTTGTTTTGGACGCTGAGGACTATCACCGACGCACAAACCCCAATCTGGAGCATAGTCACATGGATGCACAATTCATGACGACCTTGCGCACGCGATGCGCACGCGCCCGTCCTGAGGCCGAAAGACATCGGAGCGCCAGGCGCACGGAGTCTGCGCGGACCTTGTGGGCGCTTGGTGCTGGACTTTCTGGGCGTGGGGTAAACCGGATAAATTGGGTCTCGTTTTTGCATTGCAGACGGGGATGCGAGGTGAACATGCTAGAGTACATGGATGTACATGGATTGATTGAACTTTTCTACATGATCCCTTGTGGGCGTGTGGGTCGGTCTATGTTTTGGTTCAATGCTATGGTACTTGTCTAACGGGGATTATTCAAAAAGCCTTGGCACAGAACTCTCGCAGAATTCAGACAGACTGTTGGAGGTGCTCCCAGTAGTTAAGGGGGCAAAAGAAACGTCTCCTTTTGGTTTCATATGGTTGGGTGGCACCATATAAGGGGTGCCCTGGCCAGGACCAGATCACCTTTTTAATCCACTGCCATCTCTCACATCGCTGACTGGTCGGGATCCACGTCCGTTGTGTATGTTGGGTGTGTCCAAGGTCGACAACCCCTGTTTGGACGGCCACTCGTGTGTTTGATCAGAAAAATGGTGACCCCTTTCTTCACTTGCTAGTGGAATGAATATCAGTTCCGTTGAGCTGAAGTGAGAGGGAGATTTCTCAGACACGACAGGTGCCGTTCTTGTTCACCGTCTCACCCCAGAAACGACAGTCACCCGTTGTGCCTGTGCAAAGAGTATCAAAGAGTTAAGTACCTGAATTGTTGCTCGTGTCTTCAAGACTTGGCTTCGCTTTGATGCAAAGCCAACATACCACCAGATCCACAAGCTACAGCCGGATCATAGGGGGCTGGATGGTGCCCTCAATTACTAGGCTCCGCCACTCATGTTGTACGGTTTCTAGAGCACTTCTCAATAGGAATGAAGAAGAGTCGAACGTTCAGTTGCGACTTCTGTGTCGGTGTGTACATGTTGGCCTTTTCTGTGGCCCAGGGCATGCCTTGGCACCAGGCTCCCTCCTTTCTTTCGCCACTCTGCCGCACCGGGGCGCTCCGGCCAGGCCTGCGCAGCCGCGCGACGGCGGCGCGGCGGCGGGACGACGAGCCCTGTGACCTGGTCGTTCCACAGAAGGCACTGCGTGGCTCGGCGGAAAAGCGTTCGGAGTTGGAGTTGACTGGGCTTTGCGGAGACAGGGTGATGGATGGCGAGGGTGATTTTCCTTGATTCTGGGTGAATGTTCCTGGCTCCTGGAGCAAATCCAAGTTGACAGGTGCGTTTACAGGCTCGCACTGAGCCGCGTTAAAGGGGGATTTGATCAAGGACGGACGGTGCGATCGTGGTCGAGTCAATGAAATCGAAGTGATCCCATGTGCTCACAATGTGTAGGGCAGAAGCCCGCTGCTGGGAACTTCATTGGTGGAACATTGTATACTCAAGTTGTAAACGCCCTTTTGAAATCTGTTAGATGTGTCTTTAAAGAAGAAAAGAATGACTCGTGCGTCAGATGTGTACGTCAGAGCTTCGTCACACGCCCAGGTCGCTGGCTCGAGGATGACGCAGAGGCCGGCAGAGAGATGAGCACCATGCCCGCGCCTCCAGCCAAGTGATAAGGTAACAACATGTGGCTGTGGGGAACTGGCAAACGGTTGACCTACTGTACCTGGGAAATATTGGGAGGTCTTTCGCTACATGGACTGGTCGGGATGGCCCAGATGTTTGGTGACTGGAAGTTCTGGGGAAGTTGACTATGTGAAACAACGGGAAACAAGAAACCGTCAGAATCCGTCAGTCTTTAACTCTGTATACTCAGACCGTTGGGGAGTGGTGAGACTTCGTTGGTGAAAATGACCCAACCAAGAGGCGGAAGTGTCGGAGTGTCTAGAGGCCTCAAAGGGCTGGTTTCAGGTTGTTTCGATCAAGCGATGAGTGTGGGGTGGTGTGGGGTGTGAGTTCCAGAGAAGATAGAATGTGCACAATCTCTAAACCCATACCTTGACCTTTGCAAACGATAATTGGATGAAAGACCTGCCCTTCTATGCGCATCGGTCTAGCAATCATCCATTTGTGTAGACACACCTGTTTTCAGGCATTGTTCAGCCCAGACAACTGGTTTCCTGGGTGTTGCGTGTTTTTTTTCCTGGTTCTTCTGTGATTTGTTAGGTGTCTCGGCGGGAGAGCGGGGCAGCCCCAGAGCTTCAAGCTCATCTCCTAAACAGAAATAGAATCACAACCCGCAGTTGAAAGAAGAACCACCAGAAGGGCCCTGTTGTGTTTTTGAAAACCTTCGGCTGT